AAATGAAATAAACTCATGATATTGAAAGCAGCATCTCATGGTCGGCAGGGGGTCCCTGGAACTCGCAGCAGAGTATTCTTTTTTGATGGCTTCAAACTTTTTGAAGAGGTTCAAATAAGGAAGCCAACAGTCCTCGAGCAGTTCTGTTGATGTGTTGATCTGTGTCTTAAACTTGACACAAAAAAGTGTGTTCAGTTCAAATCCTTCCAATTCCACCCTGCATCACGCCTAAACACTTAATTATTCTGAAAGCCAATGTAACGCCCTAAATTTACAATCATTTAAATGGGAAGTGAAGGCGACATGGAGACGATTACAAAGCATTGCAGTAGGTTTTGTTCCATCCGATTCAATTAAGGTTGAGTTTCATTAACAAGCGCCCTCCCCCTCTCCCCTCATTGCTGCACCCTCTCCGCCTTCCCTCAGTCATGTATGGCCTTTTCTCAATGCAACAATGACTTTCATGAAATCACATTAAACAAATGAGCCCTCCGAATCTGACAGCAGCATATTCTAGAGGCGGGGGTGGCTAAACCCTTGTTGTGTCCTTGGTTTATCTCCTCACCGTCTCTGGAAATGTTATGTTCATCGCTGAATAATTACATTTTAAGTACTTCAAATGACTTTGGATGAGAGGCCTGATGATTAATTACACTTGGTATAGAATACTTGGGCGGTTAATGTGGGGCTAATGATTGTAAAACAGTTTTTTTTCTAAAGTTATTTAAGTCCTTTATTTTTCTCCCCTACTAAACTTTTACCCTTACAACGGCAGCCGCAATTTTCACTCCAGTAATTTGGAGCTGGCAACACTCAAAAGCTATTTGCATAGTTTTCTTTCTAACTAGGCTGTATTGTATAATATATTTTCAACAGTTTTCTCCTACAGTCACACTGGATACAATGATTACTCTCCAGGTTGTGATCAATCCCTCCTAAATCAATTACATATAATAATATATCCAAGGTCTGAAAATAGGCCATGTTGTTTCAGACTCATGCTTCAGTGCTATCCACAACACCTACATGTATTTTAAATGAGTATATGGCATTTTATTCAGCTACTGCAACTAATCACTCATTTGCAAGGCTATAAACTCTAGAGTTGTAAATACAAAAGTGTAATTTTCTGTGACAGTTATGATCCCTGATGGCGCCCTAATTGTTTTCTTAGAGCTACATTAATGATGCAGTCATTATCACGGCCATGATCTTTATAATTTAGAACAGACTGAATTGCTTTCAAGTAGGCAACAACACATTCTCCTCACTTTTTAAGATATAACACTACACTACTATATTCCTTCTCCATATCTCACAATTTTAACAGAGTTTAAACTGTTTTTTGACATACCTGTATAAACTGTGTCTAAGCTTCAGGCCTAAATGAACGTTTTTCATGACAGCAGTTGCTATGAGACATGCTGTCAATTTGAGTGTGCAGCAGCCTGGAGCATTTCATAATCTTGTATTCCCCAATCATTATTACCAGATGTTTCTTGGGTGTCTTTTCTCCGTTAAGGGATTTAGTGTATGTCCATATACAACATTGACAGCATTTCAAAGGTCCCATTCTGCTTTCAAATGTGTAATATCTTCAAAAAGTAGATGCTAGCAAGCTAGGCTACCTAGCTTCCATGCTAAGGGTACCTTAGCTTAGCATTAGCACTGATTCTAACTTGTTGTACTTTTCGTTTATGTTATTTTAACATATGCTGAGTCATTGGCAGCTCTCACACTCAGTTTGGTCTTAGTCCCACATTAGTTTTTCCCGGGTCAAGTTGTTGTGATGAACAATGACCTCTGTAAAACTCACAGCTTCGGCTTTGACCTCGGGGCTCTGTTTTCTTTTTGGTAATTACGTTTTGAGTTTCAATATTGACTGCTTAGCAAGAGGGGATTTAAATTTCAGTTTGCCTTTAAGAAAAATCATTACGTGATTATCTTTCCCTAAACAGAGCAAACAATTTAATAACTTCAACATCACAGTGCATATAATCTGTTTTCTTAGCAGCTCACTGTCTATAAAAAGCAGAGCCAAGTGAAGAGATTTGGCCATCTTGACTCTTGTCACCAATAAACTGAAGCAGACTTAAGCTGTTTTACTGTGATACATCCTCTGTGGTCGGACTTACAGTGTGCACAGATTATTGCCTCTATCACTGCTGGGACAGATAATATAGCATTCTGTGATTTTCATTAACATCCTACACAGCAGCCCAGTACACTCTTGTGTGGCTTAGTTACAGCGAGATGCGGATAAAGTTCTTCCCTCTCTCACTGTTAGTGTTGCCTCTGAGAACATGAGGAGAGCAGCGACATAAGGGGATTTCAAGCTGTAAAGTCGGCTCCACAGCGTTTGTGTCTTAAAACAGCATGCAGCGCCGGAACTCATTTCCTTTGCATCGGGACCACTCAGCAACTTTTAAAGTCTGATTCACCATCAGGATCCGTTGCAAATGACAAGACTATGAAAAATCCTAATAAATATTATGACCAAAATAAATATGCCTCAGAATACACATGTGGTTCAGCAGATCACACTGCACCATGACCTCAATTCCTTAAACTCAAAATGTGGCTGAGCTACAGCTTCTCTCTGAGCCAAATTTCACAGAGCTGGTTACAAAAACAGGCTTTAACCTCTCAGCAGTCCCTAAAGTCACGCAGAAAGAAAAGTACAGCCATCCCCAACTCACGATGAGAGTTTTCTTAATGCCATCATCATACTAGAGAGAGCTGGATTCGTCCCTGCATTATTTACTATCACCATTCTCTTTGTTAGCCAGTCGCATTAATGAATGCATGAGGAAATTGCCTATTTGATGACCACAATGCATCGGGGAGACTAGTGGTACACCGATGCTCCATTTGTGAGAGCTGAATCATTCATCACGCACCACACACACGAGCACACACACGCACGCACGCACGCACGCACGCACGCACGCACGCACACACACACACACACACACACACACACACACACACACACACACACACACACACACACACACACACACACTAATCCTTCACGTGTGCTGTGGAAGGAGTCCATGGTCATCTTTGAGAAGGCTTAAAGCCTGAACATATATTTTTCATAGCAAATAGCAATGTGCTGTTAATAATCAGGAACAATCACAATATCAGATTTTCACTACAGAATTATTGTGGACAAAGGAATTTAAAATATCAATACGATTATTATCAATAGTACATTTGAATTTTTGACTGACTGTTAAAATAATTAAGTTTGACATACACAGATAAACATATTGTTGTTGTTTTCTTTCAACTGATCATAAATTCAGATATAAACTTATATTTCTTATAATAACAGAACTAATGTAACCAAGGCTTTAGCATCATAACAAATAACCAACTTTGAAGTCAGTGTATGTCAAGACAATTCCACATTTTGGGAGCAATAGCAGCGTTTCGGTCCTGTGCTTTGAAATTAGCTGATGTGGCTGTCATTTTGTTTACGTATGGATCACGGACTGTGCCTTTAAGTAAATGCAAAGCTTCAGATGCTCGGGCACACAGGCTTTGATATTGACATCTCTGCCTGCTGAGCCTTCACATGAAGGCTCACAACATCAGAGCGCCGCACAACAGGACTGTCCGCAAGAGCCTCATTTTAAATTCAAAGTAAAAATTAAAATGGCAATGACAGGCTCTCCCTTTCAAACACACACACACTCACACGCCCACAAAAACACTCAGAGGAGGAGGCGAGGGAATGATACTGAGAGTGAAATTAATACATGGCATCTAAATAAGTCATAGCCGTACATACTTTTACCAGAGAACACAGCGAAAAGAGAACATAGTGATGCACATGGTCGGTTGTTACTCCCAGTATATGAATAATATCTCCTTCTTGAGCAGAGCGAGCCTGAGAAAGCTATACAAATTGCATCTTCAGCTCATCAACTGCAGCTTTAAACTGAAGAGATGTGCAGATGCATCTGGGGCTGCAGAGTAACAAAACAACGTATCATGAATACAGAGTTACACTGTAAGGAAAGCAGACAGACGACTGCTTCTCTCCAGGCAACACAGGAGAAAATGTTACTTGTTTGAAGAGCAAGAAACCCTCACCTCAGCCACAGGCACTCCCTCTGGGGGACGACAGTGCAACACAATCATGCCATTCAGAGGCACCTCTGTGCCTTGGGGGTCCTGCTCAAAGTTCTTCCTCAGGTCTAGAAAAGAGAATAAACAACATGCATTAAAGAATAACCACAACAGCATGAAGACATGTTGTTTCATGTGTGACCTTCCGCTCACACACGAGCATGATGCAATGATTGCTTCTACAAAATCATGCCACCAGCCTGAGAAATAACCTTTTCAAGAACAATAAGGTCAGTGTGGTATCAAAGTGACACGGTGCTTACAGGCAATGCGCACGGTGGCCTTGCGGCTCTTGGAGGTCCCCAGGTGGCTCCAGGCGACACACAGACACCAGTAGTCCTCCGGGCCATGGAAGTCCTCCACCTGCTGCCGGGACACGTTGATCATCACCTCGCGGATCTTCAGCCCTGCAGACAAGAAGATTGAGTGCTTAGATAGGCTTTCATTATATCACAGGGCTGATCAATAACAGAGATGTAGATTTGCCGGGACAGGGTGATGAGTGAAATCTGAATATGATAAGATTATCAGCGGTAAACAGATCTACCATTTGCCGGGGGGAAGAGAAGGAGGGGATTTGGAGATTTTACTTGACACTTTAAACCGTGATGTATAATGTTTTTGGGTTAAAATTCACAATTTATTGTCAATATTTATATCCACATCATTGCTGATATTTTCAAAGCCCTTGTTAAAACTTCAGTTCTGGCAAACAGATGGCCGGCCATTCAAAAAGCTGGATGTACTGGAAATTGTTAGTGAGCCCTCATATCCTCTTTCAATCCGAAAAAAACACAATCTATTTACACAAAAGTGACTAAATGCCATCCGGGGGAGGCATTAACTGAGAGGAGGAACACATCAGCCAGTAATTGTTTTAAGGGAGAGTGTGATTACGCATTTTACCTCTATGCAAAACATTTGAAGGGGCTATAATTTAAGGTGGAAAAGAGTATAGCAAAACAATGCAATAAATACTTCTTCTGAAAACAGATACATTCTAAGACAATCAAATGTTTTCTTTCTGCAGCAGAACATAATGTCATAATGTCCTTATTTAATATATGTATTTTGTGTGTGATGCAGCTCGTAATGAGCGAGGCTTTGGACACACACATTCTGGTGACAAGTGATGGGAAATGAAAAGCCTCACATTTAAATTATATGTAAGTATGGACAAAAGATGACAAGCACAGACCATTAATGCATTATCGGGCTATATTGGGTATCTAGGCAATTGCAGCTTTCAACCAACGTATGTCAGCCAACTTGAATAGATGCATTAGTATATGAATGCAGTTATGGACAGCAAATATTAGGTGTCTGGTCTCTGACCTTTTCACTTTCCACAGTATACCATTAACAATACATAGAGGGGGAATGGGAAGCGACAATAACACATACCATACCCCTCCACAAAGAAAGAAATAATAACAGCCTACGGGTAGATTCTGGGGTGGAGATTGAGCAGCTAAACTGGGCAACATGCTTCCATGCATCACTTGATTTGTTGATGATTAAAGCTGGGCTAGTTTTGTTTTTTAGTTTTTAAAACAGAAGATGGTATTTTACAGTAAAAATCATAGGATTTCCCCTTAGTTTACTTTAAAGGGGCCATATTCTGCTAATTTTCAGGTTCATATTTGTATTAAGTGCCTCTACCGGGACATGTCTCCATGCTCTAATGTTCAAAAAGCTCTTTATTTCTCTCATACTGCCTGTGCTGCAGCACCTATTTTCACCCTCTGTCTGAAACCAGAGCCCAGTCTGCTCTGATTGGTTAGCTGGCCGGCTCTGTTGTGATTGGTCAACCACCAACGAGATGTCCCGCCACTTATCATAGCCTATCATGTTCAATGTGTTGGAGCACTAGCCAATAGAGAGCCGAAGTCCCTCCCTTTCCGGTGATCCTCCATGGGACCTTATTTCGGAAAAAATATGTATTGAAGTCAATGGCGAGAGAGAAATTATCTTTCGATCCCGTTTGAATTGTGCCATGAATTACACATATGATGTTTGTCAATTTAAAAGATATTTTTGCAAGTTAAGAAAAAAAAAGTTTGCTGTAAAACTGTGAAGTAACACTTATTTTTGTGTGAAACCGCTCAATGAACTACATCTCTGGTCTCGCACAATACACGTCACCAACACCAAGATGGCCGTCACCTTAGCACATTTCACCTCTTTCTTTCAGAATGAGGCGAAAAGTATTAAACGAGGAGAAAATTACTACTTTTTATGCGGATGACACAATGATGTACTGTGCGGGTCCCTCCATTAAGGAGGCTGGTGTTAAATTACAGGCTGTTTTTAACATTATTCAGACTCAGCTCTCTGAACTAAAGCTTCTTTTAAATGTTGAGAAAACCAAGGTAATGCTCTTTTCTAAAGCTAAAAAGACTCCAGAGACTGCTTTGGATATTGTTACTATGCAAGGACAAGTACTCCAAGTGGTTAGCTGTTATAAATACCTTGGTATCTGGCTTGATGATTGTCTTACTTTTAAACTTCAGGTCACTAATCTGCTTAAAAAGCTGAGGGTTAGACTAGGTTTCTTTTTTAGAAACAAGTCCTGTTTCTCTTTTGAAGCCAGGAAAAGGCTAGTCACTGTGACCTTTTTACCTGTGCTGGACTATGGTGATTTGATATATATGAATGCACCTGCCCATTGCCTGGAAAGGTTAGATGCCGCCTATCACAGTGCTCTGAGATTTGTTACTAACTGTAAAGCACTTACTCATCACTGTACCCTGTATGCCAAGGCAGGTCTGCCTTCACTTACTGTACGGAGGCTCAGTCATTGGTACATATTCATATATAAAGCCATGCTGGGTAAACTACCGACTTATATCTGCTCTCTGATCTCACAGAGAGTGGCAAGTAGCTATTGCCTGAGATCCCAGGATGTGTTTTTATTACATGTGCCAAGTGCTAGGACTGTTTTAGGTACTAAAGCTTTTATGTGCGCTGCTCCTCTAGCTTGGAACACCATGCAAAAAATATTGAAACTGAGCATTTTGGTTCCCTTGCATCATTTTAAAGCGCGGCTGGATGAAATGTTATTGGATACCTGTCAATGTAAATAGGTTGCTAATGTATACCCCTGTAATTATGTTGTGATGTCCTTTTGTTTTCTGTTTGTTTTTATGTGTAACTAATGTACCGCAGGTCTCCCTTGAAAAAGAGATCGTTGATCTCAATGGGATTTTTTAACCTGGTTAAATAAAGGCTACAAACAAACAAACAAGTCTGGGCATGTTGAGAGCTGTACATACACACAAGGGGAGTTAGTCGGTTCCGTAAGAGCAGAGGTGAGAGTTAAACGAGTGTAATGTGTAACGTTAATGACAGCTAGCTAACATTAGCTAACAAGGTACACTCCCGTGTTTTGTTTTAGCAACTAGTTTTCTCGTTAAGAACTGCGTGATCGCTGTGTATGCTGTGGATAACATTACAACAAAACACGGGAGTGTAACTTGTCCTTGCCAACACTAATGTCATCCACAGCAGACACAGCGAGCACACAGTTCTTAACGAGAAAACTAGTTGCTGAGGAAGTGTTGGAGAGAAACTCACAGATTTTAGCCTTTGAGACCATATACATGCACACAAACCTATATAACTCTACAGGAAAGGGAAAACCCCAAAAGCATAAAAAGGCCTCTTTAAAGATATTTGAGCACAGAACAATGTTAGAACCTGATAATATTTTGTGTCTTATGTGAAGTTAGTTAAAATGATATCATTCTTTAGATTTAGGTACCGTTTGACTTTGCAGCACTGCTGTTTACTGTTGGGAACAGAAAGTGTTTTTATCATGCACTAAAGTCCTGGAGCAGCTCCACTGTCATATATACAACAGGAGCAGGTGGTGTATCTGTTTAAAATGCAGCCCCTGCAAACCTACACTGTATTGTTTTGCAGATGCATTTTTGATTAATAATCACAGGCAGCAGCAACCTCAGTGACAAATAGATTGCATTTCCGTGTGACTGCTTTACAAGAAAAGACACAGTTTGCTCTTACAGTTGAAGGATTTTAATGTTCTAGCAGCCGTAGTTGTTTGGTTGGCATTAGGAGTAACTTAAAGCGCTGTTGGAAAGTGACTTTCTGTGAATCTCTCATGTGGAGGTAATTGAAATCCTTCTTAGGGATGGCAGACTCCAACATTGACCACTAACACAAAAACATATGTAGAGAATTGATCAAATAATGTGAACCCTTTTATATGGCTGTTATGAAAAATGGCAACCTTACACAGTATCAAAGGGATCCTAACTTTAATTATGAATGATCATATCTAATATAACATCATTTCCATGGTTATCTTTGAAACCTTCTTTTCTCTAGGCAGTAAATCTACGAAGGTTGTATTTTACCCTGATTTCTAGTAAAGCTAACAGGTCGTGCTTAACAACTCATCTCACAGCAGCTGTTCAGAAATCAGTGTAAAGCGGAGCCTCTCGTGGCTTATTGCTTAATTACGCAGCCCTACACTTGTAGAGGAGTTGTCTCTCCAAAGGCTTTTGCCGTCTTGCAAACAGCGGCTCAGACAGGGGCCGGGATTAAATAAAACTAATAATATGAAATGAAAGGTTATCAAAGGGAGCCTAATGAAGTAATGTAAAACAGAAATGTTCTCCGTAGTAATCCTCTGCAATGACTGGCTCATATTTTGTACAATACACACACATAGACACACGCATAGACACACACATACACCAACTCCATCTCCCCCTTCTTTTCACTGCTACAAATTAGAGACTTAATCAACATGCCTGTGTGATTAAGTGAGAGGGAGGCAGGATTTAACTACAGGATAATAAAAACAAAACATTGCACTCTGGTGACTGGGTACATTTAGACTTTTTTGAATTAATTCAGCTTATTGTTTACATATCAATTGTTATGGTAGAAGCTACTTAAAATGATGCATATCTGCTAACATTTAAAGGAGTGGCTATCTGCTAACACAGATCAACATCAGAAGGGTTCATGCACAATTACATTTGCTCAGTTTTAAACAGATTAGTTGCACGGTGCAGGATGAAGCTCAGCGGGTGTTTAGGGGTTATTTTAAACCCATGTTCAGAATTGGAAGTCTGGCACTGTCATCAGCTATCAAAGCTATTTCCTCCCATTGTGTACACGAAGAAAAAGAGAAAAGGCACTTTTAATGGACCAATGCAGTTATGACTTGTAATTTCCCATTGCTTACTCCAATAACATCTATATAATACACAAATCATTTCCACTCAGGCCTTTAACAATTACACAGCTTTCAATTTGACTCAGTTAGAGCTTTCCATTTCCCACTTTCAAAGTTGGGTTTAATAACAAATCATATTTTATTGTTCAGTTTTTTGTTCATGTTATTCTGGATGATTTTCAAAGAACACCTGGAATA